AACCCCGTCTTTCTGTTACACAAAGCTAGCTGCCTGTCTCCATAATCCATAGGTTCCTCAAGGCCAGAGAGGGAAGATGCTAGTGGGAAGAAATTATATTTTCTCAGGCAAGAAACATCAGCTATATGATAATCCAATTGTGCTCGCTCTACAGGCTTACGGGTCCATCCTGTCACCATGCCACTAGGCTCTGCTGATACAGCCCCGCGGAGGCGGGCTCTGTGTATAAAGGCGTGAAAACCAGCAGGGCTCTGAGGTCATAAAGCAAGAACTCAAGAAGTGCTAATTAACTCTGTGAAATCTGCTTTATGTGCCTTTTCCTTTCCCTACAGAAGTCTGACTGATACACTAACCCTAATATCTGTCACTTCCTATCACTACCAGGAGCTAGATATGGAGAGGACACGATGAGAAAGAAAATCCTCTGTACTACTAAGACCCAAACCCCAGAACTTCAAACTATGAGAAGCAAATGTGCTGTCATGGGGCAGATGTACTGCATTGGAACCTCTGGAAATTGAAGCCAGAATGCTAATTTTCCCTAAATTCCCAGTTGATTATGATGCACCACACTGAATAATAATCACAGATCTAGAGAGCTCCTAAGAACCATTCAATCAAAAATTCATCCCAGGAGAGCCCATAAGATTAAGGAGATATACGACTCAGATGTTTTTTAAAAGTTCCTCTCAACAAACTGATGTTACATGTTTTCCATACTCTGCCCATCATTTATTTTATTTTTTATCCTCACTCGAGGATATTTTCTTTCTATTTATCTTCAGATAGAGTGGGAGGGAGAGAGAAGGCGAGAAAGAGAGAGAGAAACATTAGTGTGAGAGGGACACATCCACTGGCTGCCTCCCGCAAGACTTCGACCAGGGCCAGGGACGAACTGCAACCGAGGTACCTGCCCTTGGCCTAAACTGAACCCATGACTCACTGGTCTGCAGGCTGATGCTCTACCGCTGGGCTCTGCTCATCATTTAAAAAATCTGGATTTAGGAAGTGATACTTCACACTTCTTTCATCACCACGTATTATATTAGGATGGGTGTTCACTAAAGCTTGCTAGCAATTAAGTCTTCAGATCTTATCTTTGGCTGAATGAGCTGTGAATTAGCATTTCAGACCCCAAGTCCCACAGATTGCAAAGCCAAAGAAATCATTCAGATGGCTGAGGAACTAAGTTTGATGCAAAAGGAACAATATATTTTCATATTAGGTATTTTATGCACATGTACTGTTCTTGTACCTCTGAACAGTTCATGCTACCCAACTAGGTTAGTTACAACTTTTCATGTTCTGAGGACAGAGGCTGCCCTACAAATTTCTTTGAAGCTTTGGGTAAACTTTTGTTTTACTTGCTGATCTTGCTGTTCATTTGGTGAGGCTAAAAGAAAAAAAATATATATATAATATATTCATTCATTCTACGGAAGGATAGCCTATGCCCCTTCTTGTGTCACCGAAGGTAAAGTGTTGATTTAATTAACACGAACAAAAAAGGCATGGGGAAGTAAGAAGGTGTTACTTTTTACAAGCGTGAGAGACAGGAAAACAAGTTCTAAGATTCTGTGATCCAGAAGTGTTTGATTTCAGTTTACTTACAACCTCAACTGCTAAAAGGGCAGTACCCCATCTCTTTTCTATTTAGCTAATGGATTTTTAAAATGGACCAAGTGGGTTTTTTAGAAGCAAATAGCTCAATCTCTCAAAACAAAAACAAAAATGAAAGCTAACCTGAAAACATCAAGGAAGGTTAAAACAAGCAAACATGTTGAATTCAAGATAAACATTTACCTTTTTAACTTCTAGAAAGAATGAAAGTTTTTTTTTCCCTTAAACTTGAGAAAAGTTTTTACACTCTAAGTCTCATGTCCCAAATAAGAATACAAGCCCCAAAGTAGGTCTTACCTATGGTGACCACTGATTTTTTGCAAAGTAGAAATGAACATGAATTCTTTTCATGAAGCTGATTTTCTTGTATTTATTAAAATTAAACTGCAATCTACCTCCTAACACACAATTACAATGACAAGTTGATGTTTGCACACTCCAACCTAATTTCATGCCAGCTGTTTTCATCACAAATAAACATTTTAGTGAGGCCATGATGGTGGTAATATACTGTGAATCTACCTGATTTTCAAAAGGATGGATGCATAGACAAGTTCACATTTCCACATCTATAGAACTTTATTAACAAGTAAAACACATCAGCATTATTTTATATATGAGCAAGGACATTCCTATAATAATAAATGGCACAATATCATCTAACAGTTGAACTTTATCAAGAATGAGGTTTTTAAAAATAATACACTAATACTCCACACGACTATTTCAAGAATTCAATAATAAACAATTAAAATAACACTTAACAGCAGTTTAAAAATATAAAGCTCATTGTTTACTATTTATCATAAGCTGGAATCATTCAAATACTTTAAAGGAAAGATACTACGTGTGTTCTACAAACCAACGACTTGACTGGGAAAGGCTGTAACAAGAATTGGCTCCTGCCCTAGTACTCCAGGCTCCTTCTCTCAAAGGGCAGGGGATTTAGGCAGTCACTTCTCAGTTCTGTATATATAACTACATATAGTTATATGTGCAGTGATCATATAAGTTATCCTCCAAATCAGGACAGTTTGAGAGTGAGGAGATGCCCCATGTAAGCTGAGGAAATGGAAAGAACCAGCACAGGATACATGTCACTCTGGGTAAATACAGTATCGGATGCATAAGCATTACTTTTGGGCTTTTGGGGACAGTACAGACCAGTTGAAAAACATTAAATTGAGGAACCTTGAATTTTTCTGCAAATGGACTTTTTAGACTCCACTTTTCCTGTTAGGAGAGGTTTTATTGGCAACATTAGTGATTATTGTTTTAACAGGTTGAAAATCATGAACAATCTCAAAGGCATGGGATATATCTTATAGATTCAAAAAAAAAAGAGGCTAGAAATTAGTATGTTTTCTAGTAAACAGAGATTTTCATTTTTACTGAATATAATATTGTCTTAATTTTTAAATTTCTAAAATCTATTCTTAACACAGAAAAATATATTTTTATCATAATATCAGTTTATTTCATAAACACATAAAAATGAATTACCTAGCCATAACTAGCCTATTCAAATATAATAGAAATAATTTAATAAATTTTTTCATTAACTTCCAAATCCAAGTTCACATTCATTCAAAAATTTAGACACCCTAACAAGGGTTTTGGTTTTCAATCTTTAAGGCAGACTACGAAGGTGGATGTGTCCCCAAAACACACTAGCAGCTGTTCTATCCAAGCTCGTGAAAAATATGCAGGATTTGATCAATCTGAAAGAGGATGTGTAAAGTTTTTAAAAAATAGTATTCCGATTTCTCTGCTTGGATGAGGAGATTTAAGGCTACTATTAAACTGTACCAGTTATAGAGAATTAAGTAACATACACACTCAAATCTTATAGACTTGGGGGAACAAAAATCAAACAAAAAGCAAAGTTTTGATGTTGGATTAAAAGTGACACATCCATATTCAGAAAGCAAGTATCTGATGTAATAATTTAAAATTAGCACTCATCATAGTTTAATTTCATTTAAAAATTATTAAAGAAAAAAAGTATAGATCTTTAGAAAATTAAAATAAGAAAGGGATCTGGCATGACTTTACATTTTTTGTACGGACATTCTAATTTTAATTAATTTCCAAATCAGGAAACTAAATTAAGTATTGTTTTCTTTATCTCATGCTATTGTTCTGCTTCAAGGGTTGTAACATAGGTAGTTAAGTAAATAATACAAATCTCTGCAGGGGAGGAGAATGAATGAGGGCAAACAAAAAAATAGGCTCAATTAGCAAAACCAAAAATGTATGTTTTATTATCAAAGACAATGAAATAAATCAGAAAATAGATAAATACAAAAAAAATTATAAAAACATAATAATTTTTTTTCTTTTTCAAAAATGGAAAATGTCCCTGAATAGTTTTAGGTATATTTTTTAGTAGTAGTCAGTGCCTAATAATAAACAATTTTATATGCTCTATTTACCTGTATTAAATGATTTTTAAGTTTAAAAGATGATATAATTCCCATCATTTTTAATGTTGGCGTTCAAAAGCAAAGACTTAACTAAAAAAGAAAAATAAATGAGACATAAAATGAGTTGCAAAATGTAGTAGCTTATGAATGTAGATTCCAGTTGTAATAATGGTGACACACACACTCTCGCAACACACAAACACACCCCACACCCCTATGATCCAGACACATTTCCATAACTTGAAAACATATTTTGCATATCAGAATATGATTTTTACAAGTTAATCCTACAATCACAAAGCAAGAAGCTATTAATAGTACAAGTTTTTATTTGCTAAATTTAACAAACTAAACATCTAAACATTATTATTACAATGATACTGAAAGATACTTTCATTGGCTTTTTAAAAGACAAATGAAAATGAGAATATCTTATTCAAAAAATTAATTTTCAAAAATGTCTTAAATGAAATAAATATAATATCTAATACAATCTTTTCCTGTAAGAATCTCTAGATGGGCAATGCTGAAAACCAAGCTTCTCATTTGAGAATCCCTAAAACTAGCATGTCCCTTAAAAACTTTTTTCTTATAAGAAGGATAAAAACTTATATCCTTCTAATAAAGGATATGAGGAAAACCCATATTTTCTTAAAATGTGTCCTAAAACAAACTATCTTTAACACCCAAATTTTCTCTATATATTAAGTTCACTTATTTTAAAATTAATGGAAAGGTATCTAGACACAATTTTCTAAGAAAACAATGCAGAAAGTAGTTTATGCATGGTTATTTACAGAAAGAGCTTTGTTAAATAATGATGTAAAATCATGTTCAAAAATCTGACAAAGCCTTTCTAATAATCAGCACTGCAGGTTTCAAAAAACTTTATATTTAACAAAGGATGTTTCATGTGTAGTTACTAGATGAATCTGAGAGCCAGAAACTAAAGCATTTGACATGGTTAATAATTTCATTTTTATTATACTAAAGTCAGGTCAGAAGTCAATGGCATTTACATGCTAGAAGACTGTTTATCACTCAACTCTTTGAATTACATCAAACACTGATTAACAAAATGTGACTGGACTTTACTGCTACAACTTTATGGTGTCTTTCAAGTATATGCAGATCTTTGAAAGGGCACATATGCAACAGCACAAAACAAATGAAATATAAATATTTAAGAGAATGAACAGAAATGGCTTTTAAGCATAAACCATCCTGTCATTCAATTTTGAAGCTCTATCTTTTAACTAATTTGTCTTCTGTTATTTAGTAGTCTTCTATCCTATTAAAGTTGTAGGTTTACAAGATGATCTGGAAATTTCACACTGATGTAAGAAAGGAATGTCTGGTTGATGCAGTCTAAAAACAAAGGAAGAATCAGTTTTAAAATATATTATGCTGCATTTACCTAAATGGTAATATACTAAAAACCCATTTTATAGCAGCATTATATCAAGTATACAATGTTCTTTTGACAAAAATGACAGAGTACCATTTATCAGAATGTTTTCTAAAGTTTAGGAGACCATCTAAATATAGTACATTATATTTTAGACTCTTGAAAATACAAACAAAATAGTCATTCTGTGAATAATCACAGAATATCATTTAAATTAGTAAAATTGCTTTTCTTTTATCTTATAGTTAAAACTGACAAATTATTAATGTCACTGTGTGCAACTGATTAAAAAGACAATATGACATCTTTGGGAAGGAGAGCTTAATGGAACATTTAAAGTGATATTTTAATATGATCCAGAATACAACTGTATTCACTGTACTCTTCAGCAGAAATAAATTGTTAGCTTATATAAAATTCATATAAATTAAAAATAAATGTTAAGCAATGAAATCACAAACCACACAATTTACTGAAAGAATATACTTAGTATATAGCAACACTGAAATATTTTATACTTGTAGATACATCCAGAAGTTAAGTGGTTTAGCAGATATTTTGCTTATGCAGTTCAAATACTTTAAAAGTTCAAATCATTTATAGCTATGAAGTGTATGGTACTTACTTTAAAAACTAGGATAAAGAGCAGAGATATGAAGTCTCTTTATGTGAAAACACTGCTAGCTGCATAATAAATAAAAGCTATCACGATACATAGCCTCCAGAAACTCACTGGGTAACTAGACAGATACCTCTACTCATTTCTTTATATTTCCATTTACTCAAGTTGTAGCCTTCATTGCTGATACTAACTGTCACACATTAAGAAAACAATGACAGAACTATTTTTTTTCATTATAACTTGCATTCTTTGATCCAATCCGTTAAGGTTAATGCATGACAAATAGCTTTTCAATCACAGATTTGCTTTCTGTTCTTTTAATCAGATGTCTATGTGGATTTCACATTGTTTTATGCAAAATGTCCATCCCTTCTGTGTAAGTACTTTGTCATATTTTGTTTTTCAAGTTTTCAAGCCTTTAAATTTTGTGCTGGTGGTTACTTCGTATATATCCTTGGTCAAAGTTTCCGTTTACTCATTATATATTTAAAAACTAAAATTTGTAAAATTCAATTTTGCAAATCTAAGTTATCTTTACCAGCGCACAACTTATTAAATTTGAGTAAGATGATTATGCACAGTATAAAATGTTAAATATGTTACATTTGAGTAAATAACATGAGTACATATTAAGCATTTAATATGTATCTAAATAAAGGGAATAAAGAGTTAATACATTAATATGTTTTACCTCTATAATAAGAAGAAATATCTTGTTCTATGAGCAGCTGCCATACTTTCAGACATGTTTCTGACTTTCAGATAATTAACAAATCCCCTGAAGAAAAGGAGCAGGCCTAAGAAGGTTGAAATAATACAGATATATTATATTCTTATACAGAAAGGGGGCATGTTATATTTAAAATAGACAATTATAAGCAAGATCCTCTAGACTTAAGAAATTTATCTGTAGAATTCCATTCACTCCATAGCATATTTTACATTATAATGACAACTCCATCATGGGGAAATATGATAAAATTTTACTGCTACCTTAAAAACTTTCAATTTATTAAGTCTAAATATATCTAAAGTAAAAAGTAAAGCAAACCAGCCATGAAAATCTAGAATTACACAAGAATATACATTTATTAAATGATTTCTTTAAATAGCAAAGTAACCTAATGCACTTAAACTGATTCAACTCATAGAAATCCCGTTTTACCAAATTTTTAATTAATGTAGCTAATAACCAAACTAAGACATATTTTCTGATATAAAATAGTGTTCAAGAGAGAATATACGCATGTTAATGCTAACAACTGTGGGATAAAACTAATAAGCCTATCTAGCAATATCAAGTGTCTGTCATCAGTGAAATCTATATTTAAAGATATATGCATTATGTAAATAATTCTAACCATTAGTTATTATTTTTAAGTAATAATAAAAATTAAGAAGAATCAGGAAAGAAGACTTAGGAAGCAGCCATTCTAGTAATTTCTTAAATGATTTGGGATATATCTCCTATCTATCTCAGTGTTCTCCTCAGTAAAACAGTATTTTTACATAATAATCATTCACATCACAGGAATCTTAAATAATTAATAAAATAATGCCTGTGAAACGCTTCAAAGTTTCAAATGAAAAATATTAGCTACATATAAAAAAAAAAAATAGTAACATTATTAGTAGACTTAAGTCTTTGATATACTTAAGCATACAATTCTAAGGAAAACATTTATTAACACCAGTAAATTTTTAACCGGGTAATCGTGGGACCAAAAACAAAAAACAGAAGACATGTATGCGTGTAACCTTCCTCACAAGGAGGAAGAGTTTGTCAGTTTAAAATACAAAGTCCCAAACTAAATTTGTACCCCAACTCCAAATAATCAAAGCACTAAAAAAAAAAAAAAAAAAAAAAAAAAAAAAAGCCATGGTCATAATAAATTAGAGAGGAAAGATAGAAGAGATATACAAACAATGACTTAAACAAGTGGTATAAATTTCAGCTAAATTTGATTCTATCTGCTTCCCATATCTTAACTCCTTCCAATTGTGACTCTCATTCTGAATTCCACCCCATGTCCTTCCAGATGCTATTCAAAGATAATGGACATCATGATCCAAATATAAAAGTATTATCAAAAAATATAAACCAAAATTATTTGTGAAATCCCTTCTTTTGTCTATGAAGATGCTGTTTCTAAGACTTTTTGTTCTGTTTACTTTCTAAAATAAGCCAGTTCATATCTAGAAACCAATCACTTAGCAGCTATTGTTTCTGAGTTCTACAATGTGCTCAACATTCTTGAGTATATATGAGAGCAACATTTTCATCACAGATTAAATTTTCACATTCCCCTAAATGCTAGATTATGGCTCTGACATGGAACTGGGTTTGTCTTTTATAGCTCACTCTGCCCCACAGTTGTTTTCCTAGAATTTTCCTGTTAATAATATATATGAGCAAATATACTCAATTAATATGCTTAACTATCTAATAAACTTTATATATTTTTCACTTTTAAGTAAGAAAACGCAATAAAAAACAGAATTCTGGCAGTCAAAATATAACAATATAAAAACCTGGCTGAAACCTGTATGAATCTTACCCCCCAACAAAATCAGAACACTAGAATAACTTCATTATAATTACTAGAGAAAGAATCCAGAATCTTTAGTGATCTTAACTGACTACTAAGAATTTGTGTCCCAAAACATCCTAAAGATCCAATAGCTGGAATAAATAAAAACTCAAGGAGAAGACTGCCACCTACTGAAATGCTATTATTTTCTGCTACAATTATTCTACTATAGAAATGTAGGCTTTTAAACCCAAATAGAAACAAAATGTATACTTCGCGCTGGTAAACGAATCTGAATGTGGGTTAAAGGTATAATGTGATTTTAAAAGTAACTTAATTACCATACATTTAAAGTGAAAAACACAAGGGAACAAAAATTGGATATCCTAAGTTCATCAATATTAATAAAAAGACATACCTTGTCAGAAGACAATTCAACACAAGTACAGTGATCATTAGGCATGAAACCTTTCCTTAGCTGATCAATGATTAAGGCAGGACACATTTCAAAAGTATAAAAAATGTTTCAGTGATTCAAAAATAACAGAATGAATAGGATATCCAACTATTCTACTCTCAACATTTCCTAAGACCATTAAAATAAATTATGTATGTATATTTTCCAAGGTAAAAACTGAACACAATTATTTTTAATCATGTTAGATTTTCAAGTGTTGTAGTATTCAATTGTCATTAAACCAGTGACTCTTTAAATTGAATGGCTCTGAATTCCCGTTCTAAGATATCTGGAGTACTATGAATTATTTGAATAGCTGACATAATTATACAAGTGTTAGGATATGAGAATTTTACAGTAAATTTATTTCTACCTAAACTGTAACACAATGTATTTACATCTTAAAATTTTAGGAAATACCAAAGTTAATCTAAATGCAAATTAATCAAAGTGAAATGCATTAAGAATAAACTTACCAAGTACAAGAAATATCCACCAAAGCCAATACTGTCCATTGAAATATCCAGTAAAATAATCAGAAAACTATGGAGTGAAAATAAATATATTAATTATGTCTGTGTACCTAAATTTGAAAATTACGTAGCTTCAGTTTCAGAATGATTTACCTCACATAATCTTTAGCGCTTAAAAACAGCACAAGAAAAAAAAATGACATACGTATAAATTGATTTGACAAAAAAATCTTTCATACATAACAAACATATGTAAAATATCTTGGAAACAAAAATCAGTTTCCATCTGCTTGTAAGAAAAAAAAGGGTAAATACTATATATCTGAACCCAACATTTTCTAATCAAAGAGTTCACAAGTCAGTTATTTTTTCATAATCTCTCAAAACTATTACTACCATCCCAAATATATTACAGCAACCCGCTACTTTAGATATTTACACCGAAAGCCAAAATAGTTAATCTTATCAGATAGATATGTTCTGCTAACCTCTAAAAAGAAGAGCTTCTATCCTCTGTATACCCCTACCGTTATTTACTGCCAAGAATACCATAAAGACCCCCAATTCATTAGTCTTTTTATTTTCAAACTGATGCTCCAGCACTCAGTACCCAACGGTGAGCTGAGAACAGCTAAATGAGCCTAGAAGTGGCATTTCAACGGTGGCCATGGTGGCAGTTTTATATTCTCTGTGAAATGAAAACATGAACAGGCAGATGGAAGACAGGGTCTGATGACACTGGACACAGGTACTTTTCCTTGATTAGACTTTAGTCATCAAGATTTATTATTTTGAAGTTTTTTTAAGTCAATCTAGTTTTCTTCAGAGCTACTTCAGATAATTCTTTCCTATTATCCTTTAGGATCTGAACAATGCTTCAAATAACTGTTTTTTTAGAAGTGTTTAATATAACCTCCTCTAAAACTACTAAAAATTAATTTGTTTTATCTATTCTGTTTCCATTGATCTCCAAACTGAATCTGATTCAACTAAAAATAGTTTTGTTCAATACAGATTTGTCCTCAAGTCTGAAATTAATTAAAGTATCCATTTCCAGCATTTCTAACTATTTATTGGTAATTACCATAAACCCAAAAAATTCTATAGCTTTGTATAGTAACAAAAATGCTTATGAATTATGAATAATGGCACTATTGAGGAAAGATGTCCACTAAAGATTATCTAAATCTGTTTTGTAAAGCGTTTTAGGTACTTTTACAGGAAGTATTACTTATAAATGAATCATGATATAAATTCTCAGTTCAGAGTTTTAGAAATTTCAAAGATGAAAAATTTCCTAGTATCATTAGAGGTGCAAATCCCACATACTCCAACATCTTTAAAATATGTACCATGAAAGGAGAACTAGAAAATTAGGAAAATATAATTTGTAAAGTAGGACTGCACTACACTACTTTTAATCAAGTGATTAATAATTAGAAATAAAAGGTTTTCATATAAGTTTTACAGGCTGTAAGAAGAAAAAGAACAAAGCAATATATTTTTAACTTTCTAATTTTAAAACAAATTTAATATATAATGTTATATGTCAAGAGGCAACCAGAAAATTGGAACAATGTCATTCTTCCCCCACAGTATTTACTTAAAAATATTCTTTATTTACTCCCAAGTAAAGACTATAATTACCTTCACCTTAATGTCAAAGAGAAAGACTCATAAAGCAAATTTTTCGGCTCATTGCTGAGTTATCAAAATGTTTAAAAATATTAAAAATCATAGGATTGAGTCAAGTTGTTGTTTAAAAAAAAGGAAATCATCCCTGGCCAGTTGGGCTCAGTGGTCAGCCTGCAGCCCAGAGAGACCCGGGTTCAGTTCCCGCTAATGGTGCGTGCCTCGGTTGCAGTTTGTCCCCAGCCCTGGTTGGTCGTGTGGGTGGCAGCCACTCGATGTGTTCCTTTCATGTTAATGTTTCTCTCTCTCTCTCTTCCTCTCTCTCCCTCCCACTCTATCTGAACAAAAAAATGGAAAAGTGTCCTCGGGTGAAGATAAAAAAAAAAATTAAAGAATAAAAAAATAAAAAAAAAGGAAATCAATCATGTTGATTGGCTAAACACAGGCAAAAGAAATGAAATTTTGAAAAACAAATTAACTACCAAGAATTTATCTGATTTTGTTTTATTAATATAACACCAGTATTTTATTGTTTACATCCTATTTTCAAAAACGCTTGTTAGTTTTAATAAAACACATATGCATTTTAAAAGAAACAATGAAAACATCAAAAGCCTTAGGCAGAAATAAAATATCAGAATCTTGGGCTAAAGATGTTTACATTAAATCTGAAGTTCACAGCAACTCAGAAACAAAAAAGAAAGTAGTAGTATGATTTATAAATTACTTATTGTCTAATAAAAGGAAACACCCAGGCTTCTGGGAGAAAACCCTTTTCTCAGTACTCACCTCCAAGGGGAATTTATTGCTTGGAGCATTATAATAAAAGTCCAAGTACAGAGGCACTACAGAGTTAGAAGAGGCACCGAATTGAGAACAAGCTGGAAAATTTGGTACTCTATTCCTCCAACAACCACATCAAAATTACAACTAAACGACAGAACAACCATCATTCAGAATTGCCTGAAATCTAGCTGAATGGAAGTCCTACAACTAAGGATATAGAGAAGAAGCCACAAGGACACTGGAACGAGGGGCAGAGACATGGACTGGAATGGGCTGGCCCCACACCCACATGTGGCAGATACAGTCAGGAAGGATATTTCAGCTGCAGAGGTCCCCCATGAGGAGTGAGGGGTTCCAGACCCACACCAGGACTCCCAGTCCAGAGTTCCAGTGCCAGGAAGAGAAGAACCCATAACTTCAGGCTGTAAAAACCAGTTGGGATTGTGGATGATCCTCCATGGTAGTCAGAGGTCAGTGGTCAGTGGCCACAGACAGTCCTTACAGCCGATCAGCCTGGGGATAAATCCATTCCACTAAGGTACCAGTAGCAATCAAGGCTCAATTACAACAAGAGGGTTACACAGCCCACAAGGGGGGGGAGGGAGGAAGGGACACACCTGTAGTGCCCACTTTGGGTGAATGGGGAGTCTGTGTCACTGGACCCTACAGGACACCTACTACATTAGGCCATTCTACCAAACTCGAGAGACGTTGCAGCTCTATAGGAAGGCTGCCAAAATGATACAAAGAAACATGTCCCAAATGAAAGAACAGAACCAAACTCCAAAAAAAAGAACTAAACAAAAGGAAGACAATCTACTAGATGCAGAGTTCAAAACACTAGTTATAAGGATGCTCAATCAACTCAGGGGAAAAGTAGATGAATTTAGAATGTTACAGCATAAAAAAGGACATGGAGCGTGCTCTCCCCCTCGGAAGCATGCCTGCACCTTTCCCTTACTCTCTCCTAGGCTCCAAAGACCCTTCTTCTGCCTCTGTAACTTGTTTCCTGAATCTATACAGCCAAGTTGGATCCTGTTACTAGCTCTTTAACTTTCTAAATAAACTTTTTCTTGTAATTTGAAAAAAAAGAACATGGAAACCATAAAAGAATCAGTCAGAAATGAAGAATAAAACACAAACTGAAGTGAAGGGTAATTTACATGGAATCAATAGTAAAGCAGATGAAGCCAAAAATCAAAACAGTGATTTGGACTATAAGGGAGCAAATTAGAACAGTAAAAAGACAAAAGAATCCAAAAATATGAAGACTGTGTAAGGAGCCTCTGGGACATCTTGAAGCGTACCAACATTCACGTCATGGGGGTGCAGGAAGGAGAAGAGAGAGAGCAAGAAATTGTAAACCTATTTTTAAAAAGAATTATAGAACACTTCCCTAACCTGGTGAAGGAAATAGATATAAAGTCCAGGAGGCACAGAGTCACAAACAAGATGAACCCAAAGAGGCCCACAGATCATAATTAAAATGCTCATAGTTAAAGACAAAAAGAAAATCCTTTTTTTTCAATCCTCACCCAAGGACATTTTTGCATTTATCTTCAGATAGAGTGGGAGGAAGAGAGGAAGGAAGAGAGAGAAAGAGAGAAACATCGATGCGAGAGAGACACATCAAGTGGTGGCCACCCACACAACCCCAACTGGGGCCGGGAACAAACTGCAACCAAGGTACGTGCCCTTAGCGGGAACTGAACCTGGGACTCTCTGGTCCGTGGGCCAATGCTCCAACCACTGAGCCAAACCGGCCAGGGCCAAAAAGAAAATCTTAAAAGCAGCAAGACAAAAGCAGTTAGTTACCTACAACGGAGCTCCCATAAGACTGTCAGCCGAATGCTCAAAAGAAACTTTGCAGAACAGAAGGGACTGGCAAGAAATACTCAAAGTGATTAAAAGCAAGGACCACTCTGCCCAGCAAAACTATTATTTACAATCAAAGGAAAGATAAAGAGCTTCTCAGACAAGAAAAAGCTAAAGTATTATATGAAATGTTAGAGTCTTCTTCTTCAAGAAGAAAAAAAAATTTTTTTAAATGAATAAAATGGCAATAAATACATATCTATCAACAATTAAACCTAATAAACAAAATAAATGAAGCAGAATAGAAACAGACTCATAGATACAAAGAACATTTTGTCGGTTGCCAGTCGGAAGGGGGTTGGGAGAATGGGTGAAAAAGGTGAAAAGATTAAGAAGTACAAATTGGTAGTTACCAAATAGTCATGGGGATGTAAAATACAGCACAGGGAATACGTATAGTGAATAATATTCTAATAACCATGTATGGTGTCAGATGGGTATGAGATTTACTGGAATGATCACTTAGTAAGTTATATACTATCCTATCACTAGGGTGTACACCTGAAATTGAAATTATTATAACATTGTATATCAACTGTAATTGGAAAAAAATTGTTTTTAATTTTATAAAATATTTTAATATGCTTTTATTGATTTTTTTTTTTTTAGAGAGAGAGAGGAAGAGATAGAAATATCAATGTGAGAAAGACACATTGATCAGCTGCTTCCTGCAGCCCTCTCCCCCACCAGGGATCGAGCCTGCAACCCGGGCATGTGCCCTGACCTGGAATTGAACCAGGACCTCTCAGTCCATGGGACAATCGATGCTCAATACACTGAGCCACACCGGCTGGGCAAAAAAAAATTTTAATAAGAAAAAAAAGAGAACAAGCTAGATTTTAACCCACATACAAATTGAAGGACACTAAGCAAGCTATTAGAATCTTTTATTCTTAGTTTTATCATTAATAAAATGGTTAGATTGTCACCAACATCACTAACAGGATGAAAGGATTTAGTGTTTGTAACAAATTATGCTTGGAACATAATAAAGTACTCAATAAATGGCAGCTATTATTATTTCTAAATTTTATTTTTTAATTATAGTTTACATTCATTATTTTGTATTAGTTTCAGATGTACAGCATAGTAGACAGTCATATACTTTGCAAAGTGATACCAAAGATTTTTTAAATATTTGCCTTATATCATTTCTCAATGTATACTAAAGGTATAATATTAACCTTAGCTCACAAAAATCCTGAAAGGCAGCTATTATCAGCTTATTATGAAGAAACTAATGCTCAAAAGAATTTGAAAACTTAGTTAGAATACTGACATAATAAAGATGAGATCCACACAACTTTTTCTTTCAAAGCTCTTTCCATATACAGTAGTCTCCCCTTATCATCAGAGGATATGTCCCAAGACCCCCAGTGGGTGCCTGAAACTGTGGACAGTACTGAATCCTACCTATACTATGTTTTTTCATATACATACAAACCCATAATAAAGTTTAATTTATAAATTAGGCACAACGAAAGATTAACAATAAAACATAACTATAACAATATGTTATATTAAAAGTTAAGTGAATGTGCTCTTGCACGCTCTCTCTCTCTCTTTCTCTCCCCTCCCCACCCCCTCAAAAGATCTGAAATTTCCCATTTAATATTTTTGGACCGTGACTGACCACAGAACACAAAGTCTAGAAGTTAAGTACAAGTCTCAAAATAACTGAATTCATATGCATAAAATGAATATTTATGAAACACACAGGAAATTTCATGTATTTTAATTTAAAAAATAAAAGTGACAGAGGTTATCAAGACACTCACCCTGACAATAAGGATCCATTTGATCAATGAAAGGCCAAATCCACAGATGGCACCATACCTTCCAGCTATGGTATTGGTGATACAGAAGGACAGACAAAATCCAAGCCAGTTGAAAATAAATGCCACTAAAAGCAAGAGAAACAGTGCTTTTAAAAAAACATACTCTGGAAACAAATGAACAGAGACTGATAATAATACTTCATTGCTCAATAGGAATAGTAATTCCCTTTCTTTTTTAACTCTACCAATTTAGCCTTCTTTATAGACTGTAGTTTACTTTTTACAAATATAAGTTATTTACTAGACATTAACAAGTGAGTAAAGCTTGGTTTCTTGTCAGTTTGATCAATAGGAATTAATTCTTTAAAGCACATCACCAATGGCTGAAACATTTTTATATCAGATAAAAACCAGGTCACAATGTAGCTTCCATGAGATTCCACCCAAAAAGCCCAGCCTAAGCAATCAGTCAACCAATTAGTCAATATTAAAAATGAGCCACATAAATTATAAAAGAAGGTGCCCAGAACAGATATTGTTCTCTGTCTCTTCCTCCTCTCCAACCAAACCTGTCTTACCCCTCCCCAGGAATCCCACCACCACCACCTCTAGTCTCTTCAGGGAAGGCTGGATCTCACACTTAGCCCCCAAAAGTGGGTTGGGTCCAAAGCAGTCTGGGGGAAAAAAAATCACAGGAGGCGGAAACTCCTTTCCAATGATTTTTTTTTTTTTTAAATAGCACTTCTTAAAAACATTCCTTGGTTCTTTTTTTTTTTTTTTTATCATCTCATCCAAGGACATTTTTCTATTTTTTGTTCAGATAGAGTGGGAGGGAGAGAGAGAGAAACATCGACGTGAAAGGGACACATCGAGTGGCTGCCACCCGCACGAACAACCAGGGCCGGGGACAAACTGCAACCGAGGTACACGCTCCTAGCAGGAACTAAACCCTCTCTGGACCGCAGGCCGACGCTCTAACTGCTGAGCCAAACTGGCCAGGGCAAAAACATTCCTTGGTTCTTAAAAAACACAGCAAGGGGAGGGAAGATAGAATACAGGTTAAGTAATTAACTGTGGCTCCAAATTGATCACTGATGATGCTGGATGATGGATACATGTAGATTTATTATACTATTGCCTACTTTTACAAAAAAGGAAAAGAAGAAACGGACTCTCCCTCTTTCTCTGGAAGTTTTGACATAATACCTGGAACTGCTGCTAGAATCCTGCTATCAGCCTGAGGATTAAACCCTCACCCTGACTGGGGGAGAGTAAAGAAAAGCAAAGGAAAGCAGAGCCACAACATTGGTACTTTCTGGGCCTTCAGACTGCTCATCCATGGCCTTGTCTTGTGAGACAATCTCCTAACCGTTTAAAACAGCTGAAAAATGGTTTTCTATTACTTACAGCCAAAACCATTCTTACACAGCAGAGTGCCCTCTTGTACCCAAGATGTCAACATTATCAAAATAATAACAGTAATAATAATAAAACTTCTAAAGAGCAATTAGAGCCTAGGTTTGATTCTGTTAGTACCCACCCTCTAACCCTACCTATCTCCAATTAACACAAAGTAAATTACCTAGAGAAATTCTGATTTTTCAGAATTCTGAAGACAAAGAGGAAGCACATTAGGATAAGTTTAAATGAATTAGCTATTTCTTTGAAACAATTTCCCTACTCTTGCAATTTCTTCCTACCTAATGCTTATGAAAAGTCTCAGCTTTCGTGATCACTGATGGAAGCTGTACTGTACAGTTCAACAGAGTAAGTTTTGAAATAAGAGACCCTTTTTGAGTGGCAGTGGACTCACTCACTGAATATGTGACCTTGGACTCACTGCTGACTTCTATGAGTCACAGTTCTTTGATCTGCAAGTACCTACTTCATAAGGTTGATAAGAGGATTAAGTGAGATAATGAATATAAAGAGCTCAGCACTGTACAGAACCTGGCACATGGTAATTGCTGAAGTGTTAGTTATCAGTACCACCCATACAAAATGATCTCTTGACTGTACAGAGCAGGTCCTATCCTTTCTGTAGAAAAAATTTTCAGGAGGCACTATTGGAAATAAAGCATGTTTAATGTTCTGTTCCTTCTTTTAAACCTAGATATCAATCAGTATTTTGCTATCCTCCATATCTATGCTATCCAGTGTCACTAGCTACATCGCTTCTTCCTTGTGCCTCAGGAACTCATCCTCCTCTATTAAAGAGGTTATTTAAATTTATATTAACTAAAACTAAATAAAATTTAGTTCCTCCATTGCACCAGCCACATTTCAAGTGCTCAAGAGTCACGTGTGGCCCTGGCTGGGTGACTCAGATGGTTGGAGCACACTGGGATAAAGGAAGAAGGTGCAAGGCTGGTGGCAGTTTGTCCTCTGCCCCAGACCTCAACTGCCTGCCCTGAGGCCTGAGGAGAGATACAGCTCAGCCTGTCACTAACACAAATGTGGCATACCAGTTGGGAATCTCTGCTGTTACTCATCGATGTAAATTCTTTATTATAAGTAGATAAAAAAAATTACTCTTTGATTGGCTAAGTATTTTGTGTTTTCCTCTATAGCTAACATAAATATCAGCCAAATAGATATACAGCAGTTAGGTCTAATAGAATATTCTATGACGTGTGGCGGGTTCAATTCCCAGTCAGGAAATATACACAGGCTGCCGATCTGATCGCCCAGTTGGGGCATGTGATCGATGTTTCTTTCTCCCCTGCTCTTCCTCTCTCTAAAATCAATACAATACGGTAAAAATTTAAAAAGGAACGAAAAAAAGTGGCAAATAAAAAAAAGTCACATGTGGCTTGTAGCTATCATATTATCAGACAGCGGAGATATAGAATCTTTCCAACATCATAGAATATTCTATCAGACATAACTGCTCTATATCTATTTGGCTGATATTTATGTTAGCTATAGAGGAAAACACAAAATACTTAGCCAATCAAAGAGTAATTTTTTTTTATTTACTTATAATTAAAAATTTACATCGACGAGTAACAGCAGAGATTCCCAACTGGTATGCCACATTTGTGTTAGTGACAGGCTGAGCTGTATCTCTCCTCAGGCCTCAGGGCAGGCAGTTGAGGTCTGGGGCAGAGGACAAACTGCCACCAGCCCTGAGCACCTTCTTCCTTTATCCCAGTGTGCGGTAAACATGTCATCATTTTGTAAGCACGCCATGTTGTTATAACATAGGAAGCACTGATGGAGAAAATCCAAAATAGCAAAACACTCCAAAAGCTTATTTTTCCTTTGAGTATGTACTCAAACAATGTCCAATAAATTTCTTCACATCAGACTTACCAGTATCTATTATACATATTGTACCCACATTAGGAATAAAATCCAAAAGAACAAAAAAGTATTTACTGAGCCATCATGTTTTCATTTTGCTCTCTGCCAGTGGTATGAATTCCTACAAACTGTGCTCAGGTGCAGTAACTTGTTATGGACTGAGCGGTGCCCCTTCAGAGTTCATAGACAGAAGCCCTTAAGCCCCAATGTGACTGTATTTAGAGACAGAGGCTTCAGGGGGGTAATTAAGATTAAATGAGGTTATAAAGGTAGAGCCCTAATCTGATAGGAGTGGTGTCCATAAAGGAAGAGGAAAGAGACATTAGAGTGCTCTCTCTCTACATGTAGAGGATAGGCCATGTGACAACACATCAAGAAGACAGCCATCTCCAAGCCAGAAACCAAATTTTCTGGACCCTGATCTTGAACTTCTACCCTCCAAACTCACAAGAGAAAATTAATTTCTATTTGTATGCCACCCCATTTGTGATATTTTGTTATGGAAGATCAAATAGACACATACTGTAACCATCTTTAATTGGGTTAAGCACTAGGAAAACAGTGAAGTTGGTGACCACTTAAGCATAAATAGATTCACTTTTTATGCCCTTGAGCCTATACGACAGAAAGTAAAGTAGAATAGGTCTTTAAGGGCAGAATCCTTTCTGGATTCAATTCTGGATCCCCTATGACATGTCAGAGTTGGCAAAAAGGTATTGGGCACCTATTCCCCATATAGCAAGGCCCAAAATGAAGCCCAAAGAAGCAACAAGCTTACATACCCTATATTCCTAGGGTAAGATTTGGGGAAGCAAGCAGCAGGAAGCAAGGCAATACACTCAGGAAAGGGGGTAAAGAAGGCTTACTGATGCTCTGATTATATTTCTCCACAAGCGCCTTCGGTGTGCCCTTCTTCGTAAGAAAGCAAATCAGGCAGGTCCGAACAGGTTAATGACATTTGAAAGAAGGCTGCCAATCATTTTAAGTCATATTACTTATGAACACTAAAAGGTGAATTCACAGGTAAGAATGAGGAAGGAGAACATTACCACCACCTTGCCTTAATAGAATTCTATAATTTATGACATTTCATATATTTTCATTCATTTATTCCTCACATTAGCTTTTTAAGAAAGGTAAAGTCGGCCCGGCCAGTGTGGCTCAGTGGCTTAAGCACAGTCCCATGTGAGGTCCCCGTTCGATTACCGGGCAGGGCACATGCCTGGGTTGCAGGCTCAATCCCCTGTAGTGGGCATTTGGGAGGCAGCCAATCGATGTTTCTCTCTCACACAGATGCTTCTATGTCTCTCTCCCTCCTCTCTCTCTAAAAAAATCAATAAAAACATATTAAAAAAAAAAAAAGAAGGGTACGGTCACATTAATTTCATCATACTAGCTATGAAGCTTCTAAGTTTTTTACTCACTATATCCAATTTCTTTTTACCATCTATACCTCTCACCTACCCAAAAAGGTTAGCGGGACAACCTAGAATGTAATATTGTATGCTATGGTTTATCCATTAAGTGGAAAGACTATACTTTTAATTTTTCAATAACTATAAGATATTAGTTAAAAAGGGAAAAACAGTCACTTTATAGTAAAGAGAGCTGACAGACATCACCTTAATCTGATGAGAGTAAATATCATCAATAGTAAGATATATCTAGATCATTCCCTTCTGATATGATACATTACGAAGGGCTCATCATTTCTGTGGTATTTTTGCAAAGAGAGAGAGAAAACAACTAACTGGTATTCTTTTTATTTATTTTATCTTTATTGTTGAAAGTATTAAGATATCTCCCATGTTCCCCCATT